GAACCGGCTCACCGAGAACACCTACCGGGTGAGCCTGGGGCGCCGGGCGCGGGGTTGGAGGCCTCGGTCCCTGGGGAAGGGGGCGGTTCTCCAGGTCCCGGGTGCGGAGGCCAAGGGCGGGAGGCTGGGAGGCCCTGGGACTCCGGGGGGGAAACCGGAGTTGGGGGTTCGAGGCCGGGAAGGGGAGCGTCGCCGGCAGCTGGCAATTAATTGTCACCAGGGAAAGGTCGGGATTTTCACCTTCGGGGTAAGGAGGGGGACTTTCGCGGGAAGGCCCTCCCCTGCCCGAGCCGGAGACGCCCAGCGAGCCACACGTTTCACAGCCGACGTGTTTGGGGGAAGCTGGGGCCGGCGGGGAGAGGCCGAGCGGGCTCTGGGCCCCGTGCCCCTCCCAGCTTCTCCTTGGAATCAGTGACCGCGCTGGCCTGGCTGGGCTGCAGCCCTCCGAGGCCGGAGAGACGAGCTCGAGTTTCCTCCAAGAAAAGAAAGCGCACAGGAATGTAGGGGGGAAACTCCCCTCTAATTAGCCATCGCCAGGTGAGCCGAGCTCCCCGCCGGAGCCTCGCAGGAGGCTCGGGGAATTTTCTGGCGAGTTTGCTCTGGGAAGCCTCGCAACGCCCTCCCCCTTGCACCTTTCCTACGCAGCTTTAGGTTGAACTTGGCTTTCATACATTGGTTTTGTGAGGTTATTGCAGCACCGAGGAGTTAATAAAATTGACATAACTTTAAGGAGCGCTGGATGGTCCGTCTCTTGCATGTTGTGCGAGAGAGAATTTTCCCAGAAACAAGACATGGGATTAGTGGCCAGTTTAGTAAGTTTTAAGTCCTAATAAATGAATTCCAGTTGAAATAAGATATGCGTTTAATCATCTGCTATTAATAGAATACAAAACAACTTTTGTTTTAATTCTGCTTAGGCTCCTTGCACCCTTGAGACTTTGAAGTTCTCTGAATTCATTTGTAGCCATGTGTACATGGCTTTGCTCATTTTGTAGATTTCTTTTAATCTTAAAACTGAGTCTTTAAATTTGCAAGGACTGAATGAGTTCCTGTAATCAGAGGAGTTTATTGACCTTTGTTGGGTAAGAGTCTAAAAACAGCATGAAAATATTTTCATAATCTAGCCATTGAAGGCGCCCAAATTATCAGTTCTGTTCATCGGAATACATAAAGTGTATACTGTATCATGTGAAATATTACTTTATAGGTAGACAGAGTAGACTGTTGACACAGCATTTGGGGGTCAGGAACTGTGACCAAAAACTGTTCCTGCTAGTGTGTTTCCTTAATAGAAGGCAATTTCTAGAAATGCCAGAAATTTGGATGTTTAAATTCTTATGTTTGTATTGAGATTGTTAACATTTAAATGACCCCAAAGATGTCGAGGCAGGAGGTGTGGGGTGCTGACAGAGAGTAAATAAAGCATTCTTAGATTGGGGAGTCATCAGTACTCTGATTATAGTTAAGGAAAAATTGTATGTGACTGAAATGCAGATCACTACAAATTATGTGTGGATTCTTTAAGTATTCATTGGAGTTCAAAAACACATGAATATTGAAGTTCTCCAACGTAGGCCTGTTTTTCCAGACTGAAATGAGAATATCAACTTTAGACAAGCAATCAGATATTCAGGGTAAACTCTTCTCTCTCCCTTCTGACTGACTGACTGCAGGAGTCTTAAGAGGGGTTATTTTCAAGCGAATTACAGAGTCACAAATGTCAACAATTTTGGCAAGTCATATACCCATGGAACTGGGACAGAAGGAAAAAGTGTGGATTTCATTGTTTTGGTTATCCAAATTTGTAATCATAAAACAGTGTAAGAAATTTTCAGATTTTGAAAGGTTATAACATACTGAAGATCAGAGACCACTACTTTATTGCTTTCTATTCCTAGGTGCCTGAAAGCACACCCCAAACTCACTAAATATTGATTGATTTTAATCACCTTTTCCTTATTAATATGTTGGGATCAGGCTTTTTCATGTTGAGGTGATGGGGAAAGAATTTGCAGAACCAGAAAACAGGTTTACATAATCATTGCAGTAAAGGCTGCTAGCCCTTGGTTTGGCTATGATGAATACACAGTGAAGTTTTACATCCACAGATCTGATTAGAAACCTGAAAAGCCTTTTGCCTCCTCCTCACTGAGTTCTTCCTCAGGCCCCATCCACAGTGATCGAGGCAAAAAGCAAGCATAGTATGACAAAATTCTACTGATGATATTGGTGACTCTCATTCTTATAAAAACAGATTTCCTTTATGTTACCTAGCGACCTGCAATATTTTACTAATAGAAACATAGCCTAACCAGGTGTGATTGCAAAAGCCACCTGCAACTGAGATTTTTTTTTAATACTCAAATTTCTTTGAAATAAAGGAATACATTCTTTAGAGAAAAGGGAGGTTTATAAAGTAGTATGATCCTCTATATGCAGTATCAAATATCCTTTAATACATATTTAAACATTTGCTGAGTTTTCTAAAATATGTACTTAGACAAATTATTACTGGCAATCTATGCTAACTCCCAGGACGGTATACATTTTACAACTTCATAAACAAATGACATGATAATAAGCCTCAAAATATCAAATAATCTTGCTGTTGCCAATTAAGAGTTTGGCCAAAGATCCCGCCTCTTCCCACACTTTAGTCCATAGTATGCCCATAATTTTCCCTCAAAAGCTTGCTTGTGATTTTTACATGGTTTTCTGATGAGTACATGCTTTAGTGGGAGAGGAAGAAGTCAAGTTCAAACAAACCTTTAATTAAGAGTAGCCACAACCTTCCTAGAAGTTAGAACTGTTCGTGTCTTAGGAAGTTGATGGAGGCCCCGTGTGGTGTCATCTAGGGATGTCCTGCCTACATAAATCTTGCTAAACAGTTGAGTGCAGGAGGAAAATGACAAGGAGGGACAGGGACACAGAAGACTCAATGTCACCTTCTCAAGGAGGCTTGTTCAAACAACTTTAAATTTGCTGACAGCGCTCTCAACCTCAACTTGGGCTACTTTACCTTTCCTCCCATAAAACTTCCTACTCAGTATCCTAAGTGATATATTTTCTGTGTTTTTCATCTCTTTCCTCCTCAGCTGGACTGAGCTCGACAAGGCGAGGAGCTTTGTTTTATTGTTTTCCTTATGCCTATCCCGTTCCTGGTGCACAGTAGGTGTGCATGTTTGTTGAGTAAATAGACACTTAATTTATTAAACACCTAATCCTGTGCCATGCTCCCTGCTCCCACCCTTGATCATGTTCATAGAGCATCTTGTTGCTAAGAATATATCCGCCCATGAGGTGGACATTCGTGAATTATGTGTATTTACTTGTCGTTTTTAGATGAAAAACTAAGGCCTAGAATCTATTACCGGCTTCCACACTGGTCTCCAAATAGTAATTTAATTTGTAGTTTCTAGTGATCAACAAATGCACAAACCAAATACATTTATTTTTTTTCCCAAATATATTTTCTAATTTGGCAATCTAAGATGTCACTGGAATTTTTCTGTCATTCTGACAATTCACCTTTGGCATGTTTTGAACAAGCCTTTTGTTAAGAAATAAGTGCTTTTCTTTCACTGGGTAAAGGGAACAATCTATGCATGTGTTTTCCTTGTCTGTTGAATACCTGTCAGGTTGATTTCCAGTGTGAGACAACAACATAAAAGTCTGGCATGTAAAACTTTCATGCCTTTCAAGACCCCTCTCTGAGGTGTGCTCATCACTGTAGCTCTACCCACTGCTGGGTATCTCAATCTTTTCCCACAGCCCTACCTTCTTCAGGTGTGCTGAGATAAGATGGGATTGCAGAAGTCCAGACGGCTTGCTCTTGGCTCCTAACTGTCAAGAGTAGAGCCATGTGCTTGGGAGCAGGAGGGGGTGCCAGGTATCGGAAGTATTCTGAACAGCCCAGTGCCTTAGCTTTTTGTTTGGTAAAATGAAAGTACAAAGCAAACAATAGATTTTTTTCTTCTGTAATTTTTTTTTTCCCTGATGGGAAAGAGGTTTTTTGAACTCAATAACATTGCCGTGCAGCATCTTTTATTGTGAAACCCAGGGGACCACCTGGACAAGTGACACCTTCCATGGGTTTCAGGTAGCTTTTTTCACATTTGTGACATTATTCCAGAAGTCACTAGCCTTATAAAGACCTATACATCACGGAAAACTATTGTCCCCGGAATTGCCCTGAGTTTGTTTTCTTCATTCCGAGTGGCCATTTATTCTGCAGTCCAACAGCAGAAAATAGCCGGGCCAGCCTCAGCAGCAAAGCGAGGCCCTGAGCAACTTAGCGAGACACTGTCTCAAAAATCACTATAAAGCACTTCTGGGGTCAATCCCTAGTACAAAAAAAAAGAAAATTAAAAATTTTTATAAATGTACAGTTTAACCTGTTGACCCCTGCAAATATATTTTGTTTTTAAACTTTTTATTTAACTACAATATACATAGAGAAAGGTGTGCTCAAGTATATATAGTTTACTAAATTGCCACAAGCTGAACATATCACTGTCCTAACCTCTGATGGCCTTGGTTATTTTGTCCCCTTGCCCAGGTTGCTTGTCAGATTCATCACTGACATGGGAGGAATTGTGGTTCTTGTTGCTGAGTGGCATTCTACCATATGAATGAATCACAAGTCATTCTTCTCTTGACAGGCATTTTGGATTGTTTGTAGACTCTGGATCTTAGGAGTAGTGCTTTATGAATGTTCCTACTACAGTTATAGTCAGACCCTCATATCTCTTGGGCATACGCTCAAGAGTGAGTTTGCTGATGTAAAGTATTTGAATACTTAGCTTTAGTAGAAAGTGCCAGGCAGTTTTCCAAAGTGGTAGCACCAGCTGACATTCCCACCAGCAGTGTATGAGTGTTCCTATTACTGTGCATCTTGCTGTCAAATGATATTGCCCGTCCTTTTAATTTTACCCATTCTGGTGGGTATGTGCAAATAAAATTTTAAAATTCAAGACCAGAGTGTTTGCTCCAGGCCTCCTGACTGATTATCTGTTTCTCTGTAGGATG